TCTCTCTCATCGATGTTTCTATCTCTCTATCCCTCTCCCTTCCTCTCTGATCTAAAAATCAATAAAAACATATTTTTTTTAAAAAAAAGAAATAAAGGTGCAGATGGAGTGGGGGGTGCTCACGGGCGGGGAAGGGGAGCCGGAGGTTACTCTGGCTGGAGGAGACCAGGGAAGACGCCCTGGGAGGTGTGGAGTGACCAGGCTCACACGGTCTCCATGCAGACGCTGAGCAGGGACTGCTGTGCGTACCACAGGCTGGCGAGTCTGCAGGGGAGCGGTGTGAAAGAACGCGTCCACGCGGCTTAGGAAAAGCAGAACCACGTATTGTTTAAAAGCACACCGTGTGGAGGTTGTGTGTGGAGGGTGCCGTGTGGGGGGTGCGTGTGGAGGGTGCCGTGTGGCTGGTGGGAGGGTGCAGTGCGTGTGGTGGGTGCATGTGGCTGGTGCATGTGGCTGGTGCGTATGAAGGGTGTGTGTGGAGGGTGCGTGTGGCTGGTGCGTGTGGCTGGTGCGTGTGGAGGGTGCGTGTGGCTGGATGCTTTAAATGTTCTCCCATCAGCTGAAGCACGAGGCCTCTTTATCTCGTGGCTGCCAGCAGAGCGGAAGTGGTCCGGCATCGCCACAAGCAGCCAGTTATTTCATGCCCTGTTAATTCCTAAAGCCGTAACTGCAATATCACTCCTACTTTTAAAAGAGGTGCTTTTTTTCCTTTGTAATGTGTGGCCTCAGTGTCCAAATAAAGAACATCAGCCCTAATGAGGCTGACTCCAAACACATAACCTCGCTTCTGCCGCTCGCCGTGGGCTCGGAGCTCACAGGCGTCAGCTCAGCAAAACTCAACTCTTCACGGCTGAGAACTCCAATCGGAGAGAGTGGCCGGCACTTCCGCCCGCAGATGGCCAGGCCGGGGTTCTGTCCACCGCAGAGCCGCCTGGTGGGGAAGGCTGTCAGCTCAACCACAATGAGCCACGGCCTTGGCCACGACCACCTCGTGGCTCCAAAGGCAGGCTGTGGGCGGAGCTGGCCGTGCAGTGGGAGCAGAAGCAGCTCTACCCGGGAGGCGGATGCGTGTCTGATGGAGCTGGAGAGAGACTGACACGGCGCCAGGCAGGCACCTGCCGCTTTAAATCACGTCAGCGACTGTACCGCAGCCTCAGTCAGTGCCCACGCCACTTCCCATCCAGTCCGTTACTGCCCGACCCCAAACATTCCTCGTTCCCTATGTTTATGCCACTTCCTAAGGCCACGTCGGCCCGGGTACCCCTCCTAGTGCCCCGCTCGGGGCCTGTGCTTCTCCCTCACAGGCCTCATCCCCTGCGTCAGAGCTGCATGCTGGGCATTTTGTCCCCCATGCGATCTGAGGGTTGGGGACGTCACTGCGTCCTCAGCACCCACCACACCTGTGGACAGCTGCTCACGAATGAGGGCAGGTGCTGACGGGTCTGGAAGGACCACAGTCCCGCCTGAGCGAGGCCCGGGGCAGCTGATGTCTGGCCAGCGTTCGCACCTGAGTGAGTGCCAGGCGCCCCGGCTCAGTCCCAGCGCCACGCAGGTTTGTGGTGGGATGTGGGGCAAGAGAAACCCTCTCTGAGGCTCAGTCTCTTCCTCTGTGAAATGGGTATAACAAGCGCTTAACAAAAAACAAACATTTTTGTTTGTTTTTTGTTAATCCTCACTCAAGATATTTTTCCATTGAATTTTAGAGAGAGTGGAACGGAGGGAGGGAGAGAGAGAAACATCAATGTGAGAGAGGCACATCCATTGGTAGCCTTCCACATGCACCTGGGCTGTGGCTGGAGTGTCGGGGATTGAGCCTTACAACCCAGGTGCACGCCCTTGATCATGAATCGAACCCGGGACCCTTCGGTCCTCAGACCGATGCTCTATCCACTGAGCCAGAGCAGCTAGGGCTGCCGGAGGGTTGAAGGAGATGGTGCACCTGGGAGAACCGTTAGCCTGCGGCTGTCACTGATCTAAGCGCGTGGCTCTGCTCTGTAGCAGAGAAAAGCACCGTGAGCTCGAAACGTCCTCTTCCCACTCGGCCCAGGAGCAGCAGCACCTCCGCTCCTCGGACCAGAAGTGGCCACCAGGAGGCAGAGGACACCTAGAGGCGCCCTCTGCGTGAGCTCGAAACGTCCTCTTCCCACTCGGCCCAGGAGCAGCAGCACCTCCGCTCCTCGGACCAGAAGTGGCCACCAGGAGGCAGAGGACACCTAGAGGCGCCCTCTGCTCCCTGGGGCCCCCCCCGCCCCTCCCCCCGGCCCCTGACAGGCAGCATAGATCCACGTGTGGGCAGGACCGCCTTCAGGCACGCTGCGATTTCATCTCAGGAGACGGCGCCAGCACACCCACCTTTCTCCTCCTGCCAACCTTTGTCATCCAGGAACCTTATCGAGCCGGCTTCTCCTTGGCTCACAGACAAGACAACTCATCACGGACCTAACAGCGCGTCGGCTCAGAGGCGGCCCCTCCTGGGCCAGCCCCGGGAAATCGATGCGCCTCGGAGCGGAGCTGGGACAGCCGTCGGGTAGCGGCTGGCACCTGGCGGGACACGGGCGCTGAGTCGATGGGAACCGCCTGACTGAACCCACAGGAGAAAGCAGGGTCCCAAACGGGAAGCCCCTCCTCCCGGGAGACAGAAAGCTCAAGCCCACGCACAGTGCGATTCCCCGTGCAAAGGACGCTCCCCTGCCGGTCCTCCCGCCCGCTCACACCGCACCGAGAGTCCGGGCAACCCCTCGCGGCCCTGCGCGTCCTTCCTCCATGTCCTGAGGGTCCACACGCCACATGTATGTACACGTTAGACCTCCGGTGCGGGAGCCACAATGACTCCGTACGTAACTACGGCCTAAAAACCACCATTCTGCTTCCATCAGCGGGGATTCTAACGTCCAGCCGAGGGGAGAGAATGAACGCGGGGCTTTGCTCCCTCAGCCTCTCACCGTGAGGAACACCCCACCTTGTCGCCTGCCACCAGGGGCGCCTTCGTTAGTGCCACTGAGGGCGAAACAACCAGGGACCTCTGGCACGGGGGCCGTTTGCCCGGGTTTCAGTGCGAATTCCC